CGCCCAGAGCCTGTGCTCGGCAACAAGAGAAACCAATGCAATGAGAAGCCCATGCACTGCAAGAACAGTGGCCCCCACTAACTGCAACTAGAGAAAGCCCTGTAGCAACAAAGACCTATCACAACCAAAAAATAAACTAATTAAAAAAAATTTTTAAGGTGGTGACGAGATTCAGACTTCTGAGTTGGCTTTCCAGAATCTCCAGTCACTAAGCGACCTCAATCTTAACTGCGGCTCAGCTCCTGGTAAACTTGAGAAGAGCTGGGAAGCTCAGTTCTAGAGGGAGTGTGTAGAGGCCATGCCCAGGGTCCTCCTCTACACCAGACCTCACAGAAAAGACCTTGAAAGATAAACACACATCCTGTCATAGCACTCCAGAAATTCCAAACTTTCCCTTACATCTAACTTAAATCCTCCTTGTTTCAACCCAGCCATTTCTTCTTTCCTGGGTCTAAACCAGAGCTGAAGAAGGAACAAGGCTCTATGTGTTAAGAAATTTGAAGAAAAGGCACTGGACCAGTGACCTTGTATCAAATAAAATATGGCTGGCCATGCATCACCACGAAAAGATGGAGGCGTGCAAAACAGACTCCCTTCTCAGTTACCCGGTAAGAACATAAGTGACTGGGTTCTCTCACATTCCTAAATAAACAGCGTGAAGCCACATGACTGCTTGCTCACCCAACTCAAACACAGAGATGAACTTGAAGCTTCTCTCCACTGTGGACCAAGACCTGGCCACAGAAATGCTTCCCCCAGTTACACGTCAAGACCCAGGCTCTGTCTTAGCTCTGTTTTTTTTCACTGAATGTGATTCTTCCACCGCACTGACTTTTCTGAAGGTCTGTCACAGCCCCTAACAGATGTGAGGACCAGGAATGTGAGGACAGAGAATCGAGACAGATGTCACTTCAGGCTGCCAAGTCTTGTGGAGGCCAAAACAATCTGTACAGGGAGCAGCCCCACCAAACTGGAGACTTTTTTTAGTGACTGAGTTCCTAAAGCTCTGCAGGAATTAGGAACAGCTTTACATCACACATAATACAAAAAAAATTAGCCACCACATAGAAGCTAAGGAGGACTGGTGAAGTGGTCTTTAAATAACTTCCTTAGTTTCCAAATTACGTGTGCCGCAGGTCTGCTTGGGCACAGCCCTATCTATTTGTGTGTGTACCTCCTCTCCCAGGGGGGCTTCCCTGGCGGCTCAGATGGTAGAGAACCTGCCTGCAATATAGGAGACCCCGGGTTCGATCCCTGGGTTCGGGAATATCCCCTGGAGAAGGGAATGGCAACTCACTCCAGTATTCTTGCTGGAGAACTCCATGGACAGAGGATCCCAGCGGGCTACAGTCCACGGGGTTGGAAAGAGTCAGACACAACTGAGTGACTAACACACACTCCTCTCCCAGTCTCCTCCATGCCACCTTTACCTTGCTCACCAAGTTAACAGGAGATGGAATCACAGAATCATCCTTCAAGAGAACCTAAAGCCCCTGGCCCAGGGAGGAGGAGGTGAACTGCGGGGAGATTTCTAGCTCACGATCCAGCCACTTATCAATCACAGACATGTATCTTGATCAGCTTTGTCCAAAAGCATCCCCTGTGATAACCTCGTAACTCCAACAGGTGCAGTGTTAACGTGTACAAAGGACAACATCCACTCACCTAACACTGTCTGGCCTTCACACCACCACTAAGTGCCAATTACTCCAAGAAGTGTCTCTGCCACCCCAGATGAAGTCAATTCCAACCTCCTCTGAGTTTCCAGAGTGCTTGATGCTCACTGCTTTAGTATTTACTGACTTGCTCTGTAGGTTGTGTGTGTGTGCATGTGTTTGTGTTGAGGGGCATCAGGTCTCATTCTACTGGTGAGGCTAAGCCACAGGAAATGTCCTTTCATTTTTTCATCCCCCACAGTACCTAGGCACAGGGCCGTGAAAACAATAATCACTTGATCAGCATTTGTAGAATGAAGGGATGGATGAATTATGAATTTACAGACCTCGGACCTTGCTCTCTAGAGAAGTGGATCTAACCAGATACACTGTGCTGTTGCTGTGATAGTTGCAAAACTGAAATAATGGTCAAGTAAAAAGAGCTTTCGTTCTGGCTTTTCACCAACTAGTTGCAAGAACTTAGTCAAAACCCTTTATCGCTCTGTAGCTTAGTTTCCCTAGCTTGAAAATGGAGATGCCAGCCACTTCATGGCATTATAGTAAGGACTGGGTGGGATAATGCATTTCCATACACTTTTAAAAGACTAATAAACTAACAACAACAACAACACAAAAGTAAGGCAAAGAGACAGCAAAAAAGAAAAAACCAGCCAGTATGTGCATGCTCAGTAGCTCTCAGTCATACCTGACTCTTTGAGACCCTATGAACTGTAGGCAGCCAGGCTCCTCTGTCCATGGGATTCTCCAGGCAAGAATATGGGAGTGGGTTGCCATGCCCTCCTCCAGGGGATCTTCCTGACCCAAGGACTGAACTGGTGTCTTCTGCGCCTGCTGCAATGCAGGCGGATTCTTTACCCACTGAGCCACCTGGGGAGCCCATATATTCACATGTATATACATATAAAACAGAAGAAAGGACAAGTGAATCACTGGGGAAATTTCCTGCAAATCCAAAGCCAGACTCATATCTGTACATCTTGAAGCACGTTACTTAACCTTTCTGTGTCTATTTCCCTGCTCTGTGAAGTGCGGGCCTTAATTATAATTCTACATGACTTAATACATATAAAGTGCTTAATATGGTGCTTGACACACGGTAAGCACTCAATACGTGTTAGTTAAATCACTAACACATAGCAGGCATTTCAGAAATGTGTCTAGAAATGGTTCAAACATTAGAGAGTTAGTTCATTTCATCCTCTTCCATAGACAGAGAGTGTTATCCAAAACAAGGCAGCAAAGGCATCTATCCCCTCGTTTCCGCCAAGTCCTGCCATTGGGAGAGCAGAGGATACCCCGACACAGGATCCTACCAAAGGGAGCTGCATCTCCAGCCCAGACATCCACAGCAGAACTACAGGGTCTGGCCCCAGGGCCAAAACGGACCGATAAATCTGTACCTAATGAGATGGTGAATCACGGGGTCTGAGAGTCCCCGGGGCAGATACACACACACATGCACACCATTTCCCTATCCTGCTAACATTATACTTGGCTGAAAAGGACAAGGTTACCCCAATTATAGTTCTCAGACGAACACTGCACTCTGGTTGAAATGCATCAAAAGATACTGGAGGCAGATTTTTAAAGGCAAACATTTCTGCATGTCCCCAAGGGACCAGCCCGGGCTGGGCAGAGGCGCACTCTGCGTTAAAGTGATGTCTCATCTTGAATGACAGCCAAGCACCCCTTGGCCCCGACACTGGAGTGCTGACAGCAGGGATGCAGGGGAAGCTGAGTGTCCTCCGTGACGAGCCAGCGTCCCTGCTCTCCGGGCAGCACCCAGGCTCGCCTTGGAGGCCTCATGCAAGTCATGGGCCCAACTCGGCTCTGCTGAGGAATACAGGGACAGCTCTGGATGCTGAATGGGCCTGCTAACCCTGCCAACCCAGGAGGAACAGGGAACCTGGCCCCAAGAAAGCCAGGGCAGGAAAGGCACCATGGTACCCCCACCTCCCTTTCTCAAACTCAGAGGGGGCTTTCCCTGCACACAGAAGCCAATACACAAGCAAGTGAAACCAAATGCTGAGGAGCAGGAGCTGCAGGCTGGGTGGTCACTGCTGTGTACCACTGCTCCAGACCTCACAGCTATGAAGCATTAAGCTGGCAGAAACTAAGCTCCTCCACTTCCCTTCCACAAAGCATCTTTTCTGAAGTATCTTTTCACTGAAGGACCCTCTTGCCTAAAGGAGGAGGGCTAACCTAGACCAACTCTTTTGGGGTTTAAGCTGGGGTAGTGGCGGTGTTGGGAGAGGGGGTGGTTCTGAAAAGCCAGATGTGGCCAAGAGCCAGACCAGGACTCTGCACTAAGCAGCTCAATACCCACCCTAACTCTGACACTCACCCTCCATTCCAGAGAGGTGACCCAACACCACCCCACCCAGGACCTCCGGCCACAGGGAGCACTCCCAAGCCTTCTTCTCCTCCCACCTCCACAGCCTTCAAGGAGAAGCTCCATCTCCAGCCAGGGAGTCGTCTTCCTCGGAGCTGCACACGCCACCTTTCAGGGAATGGCGAAGTTTTCCGAGCAAAATCTCCAGTTGCTCAACCAGAGAAAAAGCCAATTCACCCACCCATCTGATTCAAAGGAGAAGAGGGAGAGGTAAGGGTTTTATTTTTAAAATGGAAGGCGAAAATATTCTGAGGACGTCGGCGGCTATAATACAGATACCCACACCCCAAGCAAGAGGAAGAAGGGCTTGCAAAGCCCCAAGGTGTGTCCAAGGTGGGCAGCAGGCACGTTAGAGGTTAGAACCTGCAGTACTCCCCTGCCCCCCGACTCTTCTCAGAGAGAAGCCTCTAAGAGGTCAGAGACTGCTCACCAGGGGTGAGGGTGCCCAAGGAGCAGGGGGATAAGGGCCCCCTTTCTTTACCTGTCGGGTAAAGAAAGTCTGCACCACCAGCTTAATGCGGACATACGGGATTCTGTGAAAGCTTTCTTTCTTTATCCAGTTCCCTCAGCGTCCACCAGCCCTCGGCCCCCTCGAAGTTGGAGCCTCTTTTTCAGCTGTAGTTTGATTCTCTTCACAGCCCCTCAACTTCCACCAAACGCCTCCCCCAGGAGGAGGCTGGCAGAAAACACTGCAGCAGTGCAAAGCTGGGGGGTGAGCGAGAGGGCAACCCAACTTTGCAGAGTGTGTGGACCCCACCTTCACCCCTCGATACCCAGCTCCAGCTCAGAAGAGGGGGTCTATCTGAAGGAGACCTCTCTTGAGGACACTGAGGTGCTGGGGGAGAGCAGAGAGCTGGGGGGAGGGGGGGCAGGAAACATTGGGGTAAAGAAAGACAGCGGCAGGGGGAGCTGCCTGTCCCTGCTCTACTCACCAGGACAGCTTGAATCCTTTCATTAGTACAGTCACGATAATCCACTGACCATGTTCTTAGCATCCCGGGCACAGCTCCGAAGGTCCCAGGACATATTTGAAAAGATGACGAAGTCCCAAAAGAACAGAATCCCATGAAATGTGACTTGAACCCAGAAAGAGAAAGGCGAGAGAGAGAAACAGACACAGAGAGAGAGAGAGAGAGAGAGAGGCAGCGCCAGCCAGAAGAAGTATTCCACTGTTTTCTCTCCCTCCCTGTTCCCAGCTAAAAGCTGGGCGAAAAGGCGAAGGACAGCTTCTGCAAACCCAGCCCGGGGCTGGAGCTGCCTGCCCGCCCGCCCGAGCGGCCGCTGCCACTGCCAGTTTCTGATGAGGATGGGCACGGCTGGCAAGGCTGCAAAACAAGCCCTGGAGTTGCTGTCAACAGGCAGGCTGGCCAGCTACCCTCCCACCCTCTCCTCAAGCCGGCTAGGAACAGCCTAGGGAAAGGACCCCAAGCAGAGCCCCGGGAGGAGAGCAAAAACAAGTAGAACCTGCACCTCTCTTCCCCCAGGCGGCAGCTCCCGTAGCTCCATATAATCTCCTAATCAATGCAGTACCCAAGCAAAGCCCTGCCAGCCACTTCCGCCCATTTAAAGACACAGCACACGTTTTGTCCCAGGATGGCAGGATGGGACAGAAAGTCAGGGAGAGGGTGAGGGAGAGATGTGGGTGCCAGAGAAGGAAGAGGGCAGGGTAGAAACGTCTGAGGACAAGTGCGTCCCTGGGCATCCGTCATAGGGTTAAAATGCCCCACGTCCGGAGTGGGAGGGGGGCACGGCACCCAGGCTCTCGGTAAGCGTGGAAACTGAAGCTGAGCCAACTTAAGAGGCCAGGTGCCTTGGTGTCCTAAGGCAGGTGAGCTGCCCAGGACCACCTTAAATAGAGTCCTCACCCTTCCCCAGCAAGGCGGGGCAGGCACAGTGCTGCGAGCTCCCAGCAGCTCACAGCACTCAGAACTGTTAGCTCTCTTCCCTGCTGGGGACATCGCCTCTCTGGGCTCAGGATGAGGCAGCTCCTTGTGGTGGCCCAGCAGCGTGCCCAGTCACCTGAGGCCAGGAAACCTTTTAAGGTGGCCACAGAGGCCTGGTGCAGGATTTAAATATTTTATCAGCATACAGGGCCCCATGAAGATTCAGACAAGACCCAGCATCAAGTAAGGAGGGACTGAGATTTTTCAACATCAACTCGAACACTGGACTCCCAGAAAAAGGAGACACGGCTCTTCTTATAATCCTCCAAGCTGAGGTCCAGGAGTTCCAGCCCCAGCAACTCCTCTGACCATGCCATTCCTTTTTGTCCTCCCCTAGATTACTGACTATCTGGGTCAGTAATGCGGATGGGTGAGAATGAACAAAGAGATTAATTATGACATAGCAACCATCAACTGAACCATAATAAGGCTTTACCCTGTAACTTGCCCCAAAGCAATCAGGATATCCATTTGTGCTATAGGCACACCACCTACACTTGACCCTCTAAGGTGACACTTCAGAAAAACAAGAGTGCAGATAATTACTTTTTCATGATCTGCCTTCCTCCTTTTAGAAGATCAGCTCCATGAAGGCAGGGGAAGTATATGGGTTCAGCTTTATCTCCCCAGTTGAGTAGGAATGCTTGCCCAGTAGGGGTCTGATAAGCCAGTGTTTAATTGAAGTGACCTCATTCAAACCTAACTCAAGCACTGTTGTCTCTCTCCAGCGTCCAGATGGTTCTGCAGAAATACTGGTAAAGATATCCTTGGGTGATGGAATTTCTCTCCATCCATAGTCCCCATATGGGACACCACACTGAAACACTTACAAGACTTCTGAAGACATCTGCGGTTATATTTCTTAAGCTCCTTGAGCTTGTCCCTCAGCCATACTGTCAGCCTAGATATTATAGGGATGCAGAGATTCCAGAAGTGTATATAGTTCTCCTTTACAACCGAGATAATTATTCTCTCAAAGGACTTTCCAGGACCTGTGACCCAGCCCCTAGGTTAATGTCACTTAGAGTACTCCACGAAGATAAGAATACTCTCATTCTGCCCATCAACTGCTCTGATCGCAGGTGACACATAAAACCTGGATCAAAGCTTTCCAAGTATTACATTAGAAACACTATTGCAACATTCAAATTTTTTAGCTTTTACCCTTTACCTATTATTTTTTAAACTCCCCTTTGCTTCACAATTATTAAGTAAGACTTTATTGAGGGCAAGCATTATCTCACTGAAACCTCACACACATTATGAACTAGTTAACTCTCATTATTTTCCAGGTAATACAGCTAATGGAGAGGTGCAAGACAAGACCTGGTAAACTAGAGTGTAGTGTCTTGATTTGTCTAATGCCAACCAACAAGCTGCAACCTTGGGATTTGAATGCAGGCATGGCCAACTCCAACATCCAGTCTCTCGATCATAATTTATGTTGATGAAAGAAAAATCTTCTCCATCATCAGACAAGCTGATGATAAGGGCTAACGTGCTCCCAGAACAAAAAGAATCCAGGCCACAGGTAAAAGGAAGATTAAATCAAGCTAGCTTCCTCTTCCTTTAACTGATGAGTTAGCTGACTTGCATGTCACTGTGTGTATGTGATGTGAGGAGCACCCTGAGCTTCCTTATTCAGTATATGTTCCCTTACCTTCTCATAGAGGACAGTCTGTTTTGCATGGTTTGAAAAGTTCCCTGACAGGTAAATTGTCAGCACCGACGTAATTCTACATTAATCTGTATATGATCAAGCAGATGCGTTAGACTCTCCTGTTTCTGCCTGACTGCAATCTGGCTGGCCACTCCTTGATACCCATATTTCAAGAAGGGCAAGAATTTAAAAAAAAAAAAAAAAACAACTAAACTCAGAAGATTTCTATTTCTGGCAATATGGTAAACTAGATATCCTGATGGTCCTTCCCGCTAACAACTAAAAAATGCTGCATAAAATAAAACACTAACAAAGAAAGAAAAATTGTTTTAAAAAAGCTTGATGAGCTATCAAAACAGGAATATTCAGAGGCACAAATGTAGTGACTGCAGAAACCCATAAAATCAAGGGACGCCTTGAGGATTCATTTTTAGAACCTGTGAAACTGGGCTTCAGTTCTGGTGGCCTCACAGAGCACACTGGACAAGGGACAAAGTCAAAAGCCCACTTGTATGAGGCCATTTCCTTCTCCAGGGACTCTTCCCGATCAGGGATCGAGCTGGTCTCCTGCATTGCAGGCAGACTCTTTACCACTGAGCCACCAGGGAAGCCCTATGTGAGGCCAAAGCCTGCTAATGTGAGAGGTGCAGGAGAAGACCCAGTAAAGCAGGTCCTGCTAACTAAACTCTCACCACAAGGGTGAACTTGAAAGACACGGTGCTGCTGAGTATATAAAAGGAAAACTGTCTTCAACCTTGACAGTGAGTGAATGAGGAAGGAAAAACAATCTCCTCTGATAAGTCATAATTACAAACAGATCCTCACACAGATTGTTGCCTAAGAATTTCCTAAGCAACTCACTTAAAAAAAAAAAAAAAAGAAAGTCCAGAAAAGGAAGGCTGTAACCACAGTAAGATTAAGAACATATGATCATCAGCATTGACCACAGAAAAGACAAGATTTTTCAGAGGAAGACTGCATAACATATGTAATTCGACTGTGTAATAACTGGACTTATTCAGAGTTTATTTTAAAAATTCTATAAATTAATAAGAAAAAAAACACAATGAGAAAAATGGACAAACGATTTGAATAAGCACTTTCAGAAGAGGAAATGATCAATAAATATAAGAAATGGTGCTCAAGTTTATGAGTACTTAGGAAAATGCAAATTTAAACTTCAGTGAGATACCATCTCATACCCAGATGATTGGTAAAATTTTAAAAATCTAAGGACTTTCATGGTGGTCCAGTGGTTAGGACTTCACCTTCGAATGCAGAGACTGAGGATTCAATCCCTGGTTGGGGAGCTAAGATCACACATGCTTCACGACCAAAAAACCAAAACGTAGAAACACTATTGAAACAAATTCAATGAAGACTTCAAAAAATGGTCCACATTAAAAAAAAAGATCTTAATAAAATAAAAAGTCTAAGTCTAACAATATCAAGGTTGGAAAGGAGCTATGCAAGTGTATATTAGTCTGATTACCTAAGGAAACTACTTGGTACTATGTAGGCAGGCTGAAGACATGCCTCCCCTAAACGTCTAAAGTCAGGGCTCACATGAGAAACTTCACACAGCACTGAATGTGACCACATGGTTTGCAGGGACCAACCAAAACATTGGGGAAAAAATATCTAATAACAAGAGGAGGGAAAATTAACTGCTATTTTCTTGATGTGGGATAGTATAACATGCCTGCATGCTCAGTTGCATCCAACTCTTTGCAACCCCATGGACTGTATGTAGCTCGCCAGGCTCCTCTGTCCATGAAATTCTCCAGGCAAGAATACTGGAATGGGTAGCCATTCCTTTCTCCAGGAGATCTTCCCAACCGAAGGATCAAATCTGCATCTCTGTGTCTTCTACATTGGCAAGTGGGTTCTTTACCACTGAGTCACCTGGGAAGCCCTAGTATATAGCAATAGCATACATAAAATGTATAAATTACTGTCACATGCAAAAAAATGGATGAATCTCAGAAACAATGTTGAACAGAGGAAGTGAATCAATGAAGAATACCTACAGGATGATTATATATATATATATATATATATATATATATAAAAAATATATATAAAACACATAATAGATAGATAAAAGTGAAAGTGTTAGTTTTGCCCAAGTAACATTCAGTTTTGCCCAACTCTTTGTGATCCCATGGACTGTAGCCTGCCAGGATCCTCTGTCCATGGAATTCTTCAGGCAAGAATACTAGATTGGGTTGCCATTCCCTTCTCCAGGGGATCTTCCCAACCCAGGGTGTCTTCTGCATTGCACCCAGGTCTCCTGCATTGCAGGCAGATTCTCTACCATCTGAACCACCAGGGAAGTCTGAGATAGACAGATCGAAGCCAGACATTTTATAGCCATATAGATAAGAGAATTTGTATAGAGAGATACTCTGTACCCATAAAATGAAGTCAAGGGGATGACACAGCCAACATTTAGGGAGGTGGTCACCTCTGGAGGGTGGGAGGACAGTGTGGTCAGCAGGATGGGTAAGAGGTACCACTGTGTTCACCTGGCACCAGCCTTCACCTATTTTGTGAACAGACTTGATGAAAGGGCAGGACGGTGGTGGGGGAAGGGCTGACAAAGACAACCTTTTATGTTATATGCATTTTCCAAAATCTCAGTTCAAAAAATTGATCTCCCCAGTCACAAATATTCACAAGTTGGCTGCGTGCCCAAGGTTCGGTTCAGAGAAGAAGAAGGTTGGTTTACATGATTTTAAGCTTGCTGCAGTGGTTCCTTCCAAATGTTACTGGGTTTGGAATGAAGGCTGGAAAAAAGTTCCTTTCTGATTTCAGCTGCCCTGGCTCCCTCCTGACCCCCAGGAGCCCGAGGTCTCACCCACCCTGGTGCTGTTCCTCTGCTAACCCGATAATATCACAACTG